TGAAGTCTCTTCCCTGGGACCCTGCTGCATCCTGTGTCATGCTTCTGGGTACCAACACAGACCTTCTCTGCTACACATGGCATCCATCCAGGCTGTTTCCCGTGCCAGACCCTCTCTGCCCAAAGCTGACATCATGCCTTGGGAGGGAGCCACAGCCTTGCTTCCCAAGGCAGGCGCCAACTCACACACGGCTCTCTCAAATCGTCCTGGGTGTCCCCCGCAGAGTTCCAGTCTCCTCAATGCTTTGTGTTATTGACTGATGTATCTGTTCTGAGACAGGGTCTTATATATCCCGAGCTAGCCTCAAGGATAACCTTTAACTCTTAACCCTTCCCCTATTTCCCACAAGCTGGGATGACAGATGTGCATTACATCTGGTTTACACAGTGCCGAGGACGGACCCCAGAAGCCTCGTGCATGCTGGGTAAATACCCTACCAACTCAGCTACATTTCCAGACACTGTTGGTTAATTTTTTGGGACCAATTATTTAGCCCAGGCTAAATATCAAATATTTAGCCCAGGGCTGGAGAGATGGCTCAGAGGTTAAGAGCACTGACTGCTCTTCCAGAGGTCCTGAGTTCAATTCCCAGCAACCACATGGTGGCTCACAACCACCTAATGAGATCTGGCTCCCTCTTCTGGTCATACATGCTGTATACATAATAAATAAATAAATCTTTAAAAAAAAAAAAAAAAATATTTAGCCCAGGCTAGCCCTCATCACACAATCCTCCTGCTTCCAGCCTGAGTGCTGGGGATTATAGAAATGTACCACCATGCCTGGGACCTCCTCCATCACTTTAGAGAGCAGAAGGCCAGTCTCATGGGTGGTCGGGAACCTAAAGGGCCAGCAGGAATGGGAACTGTTTTCCCGAGATCTCCTACTCTTTTTTTTTTTTTTTTGGTTTTTCGAGACAGGGTTTCTCTGTGTAGCTTTGCGCCTTTCCTGGAACTCACTTGGTAGCCCAGGCTGGCCTCGAACTCACAGAGATCCGCCTGGCTCTGCCTCCCGAGTGCTGGGATTAAAGGCGTGCGCCACCACCACCCGGCTTTTTTTTTTTTTGGAGATCTTCTACTCTTATTTCCTAGCATTTATTACCATGGCTCCTGGCACTGACACCCTAAAATACGGTAGAGTCTTTGCCTCAAATGACCCAGTAGTAGAGCACCTGCCTAGAAGTCTCCCCACCCCTGTGAGGGACTGGAGAGGTGGCTCAGTGGTGGGACACCAGCTTGGCATGTGTGAGGCTCTGGATTAAATCCCAGACACTTGGGGAAAAAAAAAAAAAGAAACTGGGGCCTCACTGGATGGGGAAAGCCAATGAAGAAAGAACCCAGAAGAGACAATGGGCCTTTCTCCCTGAAGGTCACATCCTGGCCTAGGGCCAGGCTGGCTGGTACACTTCCCCAACCACCGGGTTCCACGGAGCCACCTCTGCTGGAGTAAGCTCAGCCTACTGGGAGCTTGTGGCTAATCTTGTGTCTTTGTGTTTAAATGTTTTTTTTTTGGTATTTTTTTAAAAGATTTATTTATTTATTTATTTATTTATTTATTTATTTATTTATTTATTTATTATGTATACAGTATTCTGTTTGCTTGTATGCCTGCAGGTCAGAAGAGGGCACCAGATCTCATTATAGATGGTTGTGAGCCACCATGTGGTTGCTGGGAATTGAACTCAGGACCTCTGGAAGAGCAGCCAATGCTCTTAACCGCTAAGCCATCTCTCCAGCCCCTTAATATTTATCTTATGCCTATGGGTGTTTTATTGCACATGATTATGTGCACCATGTATGTCCAAGTGTCTGACCAGAAGAAGAAGGCACTGGATCCTCTGGAACTGGAGTTCCAGACGGTTGTGAGCCACCGTGTAAATGCTGGGAGCTGAGCCCGGGTCCTCTGCAGGAGCAGTAAGAACAAGTGTTCTTAACCAATGAGCCATTCTTCACTCAGCTCCTGGAATTCCATGTCTGTTGCTACGTGTATGTATATATGCTGTTGGTTGTGTGCGCACACCGGGGGTTGGGGTTGGGGGTTGGGGGTCGGGGTGTGTGCTTTAGTTTTTGGAAGACATCTTGCGTGGTCATTTCTCTCTCTCCATCATGTGGGTCCAGGAATTGAGCTCATGAGCCCAACAAAGCAGTTTTTCAACCCTACCATTACTCAGCACCCTCAAGCTCCTCCCAGGAAATGACCCTTGAGTACTGACAGAGGACAGCGGCCCTGTGGCCTCCCCATGACAGGCAGTGAGCATGCATCCTTCGCCTGGATGACTGTACATTTGCTCTCTGGCTTGTCAGCAGTCTATGCTCACGGGGAAGCTAATATACTCGGGGGTCCCCTAGGCCACACCCTACATAGCTCGTCCCATGCTGGAAAGACATCTGAATGCCTGGCCTTCATCTCTGATACCTCCCCAACCTCTCAGCGTCCAATCCTTTTCACAGATGTGTCTTTGTGTGTGTACATATTCATGTCGTACGTCCAGGGACATGGTGTCTGCATGCAGAGGAGGCCCGAGGTCAGTACTGAGTGTCGTAGTTACTGTTTCTGTGATAAAATACCCTGACCAAAGGCAACTTGGGGGGGGAGTTTTAGCTCCGAAGTTCCAGGTCACGGTCTGTCACAGCAGCCAAGTCAAGGCGGGAACTTGAACAGCTGGTCACATCACATCCATAATCGAGAGGAGAGAGGAAGGAAAGGCTGCATACTTAACGTTCAGCTGGCTTCCTCTACTCTCATACAGTCCAGGGCCCCCAACCAGAGACCCGCGCTGCCCGCTTTCAGGCTGAGTTTTCCCAGGTCCAACAACAATCAAAATAACCCCAACAGACAAGTTCACAGGCCAATTCAATGTAGACAATCCCCCACGAGACTCTCTCTTGCCATGTAATTCCAGAGCGTGTCAAGTTGACAATTAAAACTAACCACCAAGCCAAGTGGTGGTGGTGACAGCGCACACTTTTAATCCCAGCACTCCGGAGGCAGAGGCAGGTGGACTTCTATGAGTTCAAGGCCAGCCTGGTCTACAGAGTGAGTTCCAGGACAGCCAGGACTGTTATACAGAGAAACCCTGTCTAGGAAAACAAAAAAAAAAACAACAACTAACCACCACACTGGGTATCTCCTTTTACTACTTTCGACCTCATTCTTTGAGACAGGGTCTGTCAGTCTGTCTGTCTGAACTTGGAACTGGCCAGTTTAGCTAGGCTGGCTGGCCAGCAAGCCCCAGGGGTCCTTTAGTTGAACTGCCAGGCCCTGTTCTCACAAGTGCCGGGGGTCCAAACTCAGGCCCTTATGCTTGTGTGGTAAACACTTTACCAACCGAGCCATCCCCCAGCCCCGAGATGGGTCTTATTTCTGCACAACTCCCCCCAAATTAAGTTCGGGCTTTTACACCACCATTCCAGCCCTCCGCAGGATCACTTCCACCTCTACCTCCAGCTCCTTGTTTAGTTTGTTTGTGTTTCTGAGATGGGGTTTCTCTGTGTAGCCCTGGCTGCCTGGAACTCACTCTGTAGCCCAGGCTGGCTTCGAACTCAGAGATCCACCTGCCTCTGCCTCCCGAGTGCTGGGATCAAAGGCGTGCGCCCTCCTAGGTTCTTCTGGAATGCCTCCCATGAGTACAAGGGGATCTGCCATCTTGGAAGGGAATCTGGGCTGCACCGTATTCTAGTTGGTTGACTCCAAACCTCTGGGACAATCCAATAAGATGCAGATCCTATAAGATCCTATACTGCTGGGTGAAGTGTAATGCAAGAAGGGACTGTGTGGAGATGTTTCTCACTAGGTACTCCTCAAAAAGAAGAGGAAGAAACAATCAACATTGTCAACAGAAAAGATACAGAAAGAATCTCTGTGGTGGCTCCACCTGTAATCCCAGCACTGGAGGACGAGGCAGGAAGGACATGAGTTCAAGGCCAGCTTGAGCCGTTAAGATCTGGTCTCGAAAACTAACCAAACTATTTCTGATTCTAGTATACCCTCTATGATAGTGCTAACTGTCAATTCGAGAGAATCTAGAATCTCCCAGGAGACAGGCCATCTCACAGGCATGCCTGTAGGGATTACCTTGATTCTGTTAACCGATATAAGAAGACTCATTTTAATAGTGGGTGGGGCTATTCCCTGAGCAGGGAATCCTGAGCAGAGATGAACAGCAACATTTATGCACCTCTGTTTCTTTTTCTTTTTTTTTTTTTTTTATTTTTTTTTTTGCACCTCTGTTTCTTAATTATGGGTGATATATGACCAACGGTTTCCAATTTCTGTCACCTGGATTTCCTCACCATGATGGACTTCTCGAACTGTGGACCCAAACCCAATCCTTTTCCCTTAAGTTCTGCCTGGGTATTTTTTTTTTTTTTTTTTTTTTTTTTTTTGGTTTTTCGAGACAGGGTTTCTCTGTGTAGCTTTGCGCCTTTCCTGGATCTTGTGCTGTAGACCAGGCTGGCCTCGAACTCACAGAGATCCGCCTGCCTCTGCCTCCCGAGTGCTGGGATTAAAGGCGTGCGCCACCACCGCCCGGCCTGCCTGGGTATTTTATTACATCAACAACAAACAGAACCTCAGAGATCCCTTGTGGTTTAAAATCTCGCTGTTGGAGTTGAGCATGTAGCTCGGTGGGTAGTGGGCTTACCCATCATGCCCAAGGCACTGGGCTCCATTCCCAGCACCACATAAACTGGGCACTGTGGTGCACCTCAGTACTCTTAGTGCCTAAGAGGCGGAGGCAAGAGACTCACCGAATGCCTGAGGCCAGCCTGGGCTACCCAATGAGTTTCTGAGCCCTGTGAGTGACACGGGCTACTTCTGAGTTACCCACGCGCCGGTAAGTGACCCCAGTAAATTCACAGGCTCATCATGCTGGACTCGGTGGAATCTTTGTTTTGCTCTGTTGCTGATGTCCTAGCTGAGTGGGATCCACGTTTGCTCCGGTCTCCCCAGGAAAAGTCCCCAGGCTGCAGCTCCCCCTTCCGGCGCTCGGCCCCACATACCTTCCTTGGAGCCACTGGCTGATGCCACCACCGAGGATGAAGCTGACCCAATGGACGGCCTGCCCACGGGACTCGAGTGCTTGCCCCCTCGGCCAGGGGGCTTCAGCCCACTGGGCTTCTGCATGGTGGTGCCACGAGGAGGGCAGACGAAGGCAGATGGCGGTCACATCCTCCCTGCCATCCTTGGTCACCTGTGGGCGGAACACAAGAGGGATGGAGTCAAAATGTCCTCACTAGGATGTGGGAAGGTGGCTGGGGGTCCCAGTGGTCCTGAAACGGACCGAGGCCCATCAGAGGACACCAGCATTCCCTCTCTGGTTTGTTCGAGATAGGGTATCGTGTGGCCCAGGCTGGCCTCAAACTCACACAGTAGAGAAAGACACTGAGTTCCTGTCTTCACCTCCTGAGGGTGGGTGTTACAGATGCAAGCCACCACACCTGATTTACTCGGATCTAGGGATGGAACTCTGGGCTCTGCGTGTGCTGCACGGGCCCTCCATTCCCTGGATCTGTTTTTTTTTTCTGACACAGAGTCTCATTATATCTCCTAGACTGGATCTTCCAATCCTAAGCCAGCCTCCTGAGTGTTGTGATTACGAGTGTGCCTCACCAAGCCTCACTACACCAGGCCATTTATAGACAGAGATGAGATCTTTGCTTTGGGGCTGCCTGGGTGTGGCTGCTCGAAGCTGCAGAGATCACCTTATGACTGCAGGGGACAGCTAGCTGGTGAACCAGGCCACCACGGAAGGCAGAGTGGGGTGCTCCCCTCCATTAGGCTCATGGGTCCGTCTGGCCTACACCTATCTGAAGGGTACCGCCACATGCACCAAAAAAGATCTAAAAGAAAGAAAAAAAAGCTGTCAGTTCACCCCTTTAATCCCAGCACTTGGGAGGCTGAGGCAGGAGGATTGCTGCAAGTCTGAAGTCACCCTGTCTTTAAAAAGCCAAGAAAGAGAGAAGGAGAAGAGGGGGCAGAGAAAGGAAGATAAGGAATAAGGAAACACACACACACACACACACACACACACACACACACACACACACAAGTGGGGGAAGGGAAGAGCGCTAATCCAGAAATCCATACAAAATTCTCTTGGCAGAAATGCTTGGGTATTTCAGAATGTCTCTCAGTCATGTGTTCAGCAGCCAGTGGGTGTTTTAGTTGTTCGCTTGTTTCTTTGTGAAGTAGGCATTAACCCACGGTCTTCCACACGCTGCCCAAGTGCTCTACCACTGAGCCACACCCCAGCCCCTCACTGGGGGACTCTAGGCAGGTGATCTACCACTGAGCCACACCCCAGCCCCTCACTGGGGGATTCTAGACAGATGCTCTACCACTGAGCCACCCCAGCCCCTCACTAGGGGGAGGGGCTCTAGGAAAGTGTTTCATTGCTGAGCTACATCCCCTACCCTCTTTTCACCTTTTATTTTGGTAATGAGTATAAATTGCTCAGGTTGGCCTTGAGCTTATTATTCTCCTGCCTCAAACTCCGAGTAACTAAATCACAGGCCTACATCATCAGAATGGGCTCTTGAAATTTTTTTCCACCAGCTGTACCTCACCCAAAGGACACTTGTCCCAACAAGTTTCATTCTTCCAGGTAGCCTCTTGGGACCACTGGCCCTGGAAATATCTGGTGAGCCCAGGAGAGTCCGCTGCCCTTCTCTGTCTGCACTCTGCCTCCTGGGAACCGTGAGCAACTTCCAATCAGACCTCCGTATCTCCTCTCTGAGAACCCACCTATCAGAGTACGTGACCCAGATCCCGTGACTGGAAACCCCACATGAGAGCATGTCCACAGCCATGCAGAGAGGATGAAGGTGCTAGGCCCCAGGTCCCTGCAACAATCCTCTCAAAGGAGGCTCCCTCAGTTTCCCTACCATTCTTGATGATCCCAACAAACCTACTATGTGCTGTGAGGAACCTGTGCACTAAGCTGCACCTACTAAGTGTATACTACACCTTGCACAGATGTGGCCTGGCGATCTCCAAGTCTGCTGCATAAGTATGCATAAGTAGCAGGCATCTTTTTTTTTTTTTTTTTCCAGAGCTGAGGACCAAACCCAGGGCCTTGCGCTTGCTAGGCAAGCACTTGCTAAGCAAGCACTCTACCACTGAGCTAAATCCCCAACCCTTTTTTTTTTTTTTGGTTTTTTGATACAGGGTTTCTCTGTGTAGTTTTGGTGCCTGTCCTGGATCTCGCTCTGTAGACCAGGCTGGCCTCGAACTCACAGAGATCCACCTGGCTTTGCCTCCCGAGTGCTGGGATTAAAGGCGTGCGCCACCACCGCCTGGCAACAGCAGGCATCTTACAAGGAGAATATTCCCAGTTGAGAGAAGTTCAGAAACAGCTGGGTATGAGGGGTTACACCTGGTATCACAGCACTTAGGAGGCGGAGGCAGGAGGGCGGAGCTCTAAGCCAGCCTAGGTTATGTCCTGAGAGCCTACCTTAGCAAAAGAAAAGAGGCTGGAGAAAGGGCTGGGGTGGTCCAGTGCTTGCCCCACAAGCATGAGGACCTAAGTTCAATCCCAGAACTCATGGTAAAGAGTCAGGCGTGATAACCGTGGTGGTGTGAACTGGCGCCCCTCCCCCCCCAGGCTCATATATCTGAATGCTTAGTCACCAGGGAGCGGCACTACTTGAGAAGGATTAGGAGGTGTGGCCTTGTTAGAGGAAGTGTGTCACTATTGGGTGGGCTGTGAGGTTTCCAAAGCCCACACCAGGTCCAGTCTCTCTCTCTCTTTGTGTGTCTCTCTATCTCTCTCTCACTCTGTGGATCAAGACGTTGCTCTCAGCTCCTTCTCCAGCACCATGTCTGCCTGCACGCCACCACGCTTCCTGCCATGTTGACAATGGACGGACTAAACCTCTGAAACTGTAAGCTAGCCCCCGGTTAAATGTTTTCTTTTATAGGAGCTGTCCTGGTCACGGTGTCTCTTCACAGCTACAGAACAGTGACTAAGACAATGATGTATCCTTTTAACCCAGTGCTGGGAAGGCAGAGATGGATGGAATCCCTGGCCAGCCAGCTTAGCTTTCTCGGTGACCCCAGCCCAGGGAAAACCCAGTCTCAAAACACAAAGAAGAAACAACATCCAGAGTTGACCCCTGACCTCCACACACAAGTGTATATATGTGCATTGGGACCACACACACACACACACACACACACACACACACACACACACACATTAAATAGAAGGGGGGAAGGAAGGAAAGAAGGAAGGAAGGAGAGAGAAATGGAGGAGATTAGTAAAAAAGGGAAAGGAAGAAGGGAAGAGAGAAGAACAGAACGGATGCTGGTGGGATGGTTCAGAAGGGAAAGAAGCTTGCTGCCAAGCCTGACGACCCGAGTTCAATCCCCCAGGCCCCACATGGTAACAGACACCAACTCTTGCAAACTGTCCTCCACATGTGCATGCAACACACGCCACCACACACAAAAATAGAGTGTAATTTTTTTTTTTTTAAATAAGAAAGAACACATTCATAGAGCCAGGAGCTAGAAAGATAAAAATCAATTTCATGGTTTCCATCAAAGTCACAGTGGAGCGGCCGGCCACGCTGAAGTGGCCCCAGAGCTAGCCCTTCCCTACCTCCCAGCCCGGTGGCCCTGCCCTAAAACAATATTTCCAAGACCCTGACCTCGAGGGACAGCGCCCGCTTGCTTCAACTAACAAAAGAGAGCAGGGAGCTGGCAGAAAGGAACCAAGCCGGCATTCAGCCAGTTCCAGCCTATCCCAGCCGGGAGGAGGACTGGAGGGGACCGGAAGGGGGAGGGGGAGGGGAGGGTGGTAGCAGGCAGAGGAGAGGAGGCAAAGGGCTGAGCTGGCCCTCTATGACTCAGCCCTGCTCTGGGACAGAGAACTGGTGGTGGGGTAGGGGGGTGAGCGGTGGGGGACTTGGGAAAGCTGTGACATGGTGAGACACTGGCCTCTGGCCACGGTACAGCCCATCCATGGGGGAAGCCATGAAGTAAGACCTTGTGCAGCCTGAGGACCAACCCAGTGTCACTCCAAGAAGCCTTGAGACATGAAACCAGGTGACAGTCCCGCGGTTATGACCTGGTAGCAGGCGTGGTCAGCACACTGTGACTCCAGCACAAAAGACACGGAGGAAGGGAGAACTGGAGTTCCAGGTGGGCAGCGTGGCCCAGCAGGTACAGACAACCGCCACCATACCTGATGACCTGAGTTGGATCCCCAGGGCTCACACGGTAGAAGGGCAGAACTGACGAATACATACTGAAACGTAATAAAATTAAAATTAAAAAAAAAAATAACCAAGCTGGGAGTTACAGAGTTGCTGAGCTGCTAAAGTGCTTGCCTGAGGAGGCCTGAGGCCCTGCGTTTGATCCCCTGACCTGCACAAACCAGGCCTGGTTGTGCACATCTGCAATCCCAAAATTTGGGAGGTTGGAGCAGGAGGATCAGAAGTTTAGGGTGATCCTCAGCCACACAGTGAGTCTGAGGCCAGCCTGGGCTACAAAAACAATTTTAAAAAATTTAAAAAAAAATGATAAACCAGCTTAGGGGTGCACATCTTTAATCTCAGCATTCGAAAGGCAGAGGCAGGCGGATCTCTATGAGTTCGAGGCCAGCCTGGTCTATCCAGTGAGTTCCAGGACAGCCAGGGCTACACAGAAAAGCCTTGTCTCAAAAAATTAATTAAGTAATAAATAATTAATTTAATTAATTAATAAAATAAAAAAACGAAAACTGGGATCTAAGTGTGGCTGCCTTGGGTGGGACAGGTGCGGATGCCTGAGTTGGGAAAGAGAAGATGTAACTCCAGGAGCATCCCTAGATCCTTGACGCAGCTCACAAGTCCCATGTCACATCTCTCCAGCGGGCTCTGTGCACAGAGAGGCCTTGTCTGGGAACTCAGGTCCAGCCGGAGCCACAGGCCCCTCTGCGCTGCCCTCAACTGCTGTTTCCTGGAAAGAAACTCAAGCTCTATCTGATTCAGGGTTTCCATTTCAGCTGCCTTGGGGTGACCGACTGGCCACAGCTCCGGCAGGGGGAACAGGGCCCAGGATGCTGACCCAGTGAAGTGGGGTTGCCCTAGAGAGGGGAACCGTGCCAAGTGGAGCAGTGGAAAGCCCAGCTCCTCAGAAGTAATGTGGCCCCGGGGCAGGAAAGAGGGCACCAAGATACAGGCACCCTGGCCCAGAAGTCCAGCCACG